GCTGCCCCGCCGTCGGGGAGGCATCTCTGTCGACCGATGTGAGGACCTGCCGAAGGGGTGGGGAGGGGTCCGGGTCGAGGAAGGGGCGGAGGGGCGAGCAGGGACGGCGGAGAGTGGCACACGATGTAGTCGACGCCCCAGTTCGCAACCGCGTCGGCGGTGTTCCACGGCTCCGTCTCGTCCGGAGGCTCGGGCGCCTAGGGGAAGGTTCCCAGAAGGTTCCTAGAAGCTTCCCGGTGCTCCGCGGCTCCGTCCGGAGGCTCTCGCGCGCCGCGTCCGTCTTGACGGCGCAAAACTTGCAGCCTCGCGTGCAGGTGTCGCCTGTGGGAGGGGAGCGGCGCGGCGAGGCGTCTTGCTCTGTCGTGCGGTGTGGGCAGACCGGCTCCCGCGGGAGAGGTAGGCTCTCTCTCTCGGGCTCCGGGGAGAGAGGAAGAGAGGGAGAGAGGGAGAGAGGAGAGGCAGAGGCAAAGGCGGAGGCAGAGGCAGAGAGCGCGCGCCGAGCAGCATTATCGTGGCAGTGCCTCCGTTCCAGCACTCGCCAATGTTCGGGCACTGGGCCTCCTCGCACACGGTGGCCAGCTTGGTGCCGCCTGCGTCCGCGCGCCGCGCCTCTAGCGACTCCTTGAGCTCCGCGTACCGCGTCTCCGAGCCGCCCGGCGCTGGCACGTGGAACCAGCCCGGCCGCGGCCCGTCCGGCATGTCCCCGCCAACCTTGGGACGCACGGGCTCCGAGCGGTACCCCGCGCGGTCGTGGTCCTGCGGCGCCATGTCGTGCCGGACGATGCCGCGCTCAGCAAGCCACTGCTTGGCAGCTTCCCCTTGCAGCACTGCTCCGCCGTCCGCCGCTGCGGCGGCAGCGGGCTCCGGCGTCGGCCGAGCGGTGGACAGCATGGGCGGGCCGCAGCGGAGCGCGAGGGCTTGTTGGCAGAGGGCGAGCATCGGGGTCGGCAAAAGTGTGCGGAACCGTCCGCTTCGGGGTGGATGTCTCCAGGGTGGAGCTCTTGCTTGATGCCAGGCAGGCAAAGAAGAATTTCGATGTGCACATGCCCGCCGCCCCGCCTAGGTGGTAAGAGAACAACGCGACAGAGGAGGAAGTGACAAGGGAGAGAATGACGAGGGTGGGACGACCGCGAGGTGGCATGAAGGTTGCAGCGAGAATCGGCGAGAGACTGCGAAGAGAGATAGGAAGAGGCAGACTCCCTAGGGTGGGCGACGGATAGCGCACCACACACCTCTCCTTAAAACCCCTGTGTGGTGGCGGCGTGCCGTCCTCCCATCCCTCCCTTGGGTTGTCTGTTTTCTTTCTTTTTTTCCGCCTAGGTGGGAAATATTTACGCCTCTCTTGGCACATCTAAATCCCCCCATAGAACAAGCAAGGTTTTGTGATTTTGTGTAATTTCTGTGGGTGGGTGGGAACCTTTTCGGTCTGCCCGCCAAAAGAAAGCCAATTCGCGACTTGGGCCCGCGGGCTTGTGTGACGCGCGACCGTTCGGAGACCGGAACAGAACCGTAACAGACAAACGCACGCACACAAAAACGCAGCCCGAATGTGTATGGCCGGTCCCGACAATGGGCTCCACGCCACTCCTCCCGCGCTATTTTTCCGTGCCGCTGACGTTGCCGTCAAGCCTGTGACTCGTCGGCTGCTGCTCCACAACGATTCTGGCGCAGATTTGGTCTTCCGATTGGAATTGCCGATGCATTCTGCCTTCATCGTCAACTGCGGCGGGCTGGGGACAGATGGCCTGGGAGTGCTGGAGAAGGACGGCGACATTTCAATCGAAGTAGAGTGCCACGCCGCCGCATCCGTTGAAATCCTCGCTCGCACGAGCGCGGGAACGCTTCACGTTCCTCTTGTCGTTGGCGACCACCCTGGAGCTGGCGCGGGAGAGCGGAGAAGTGCGGCAGCAAGCGACGAGGTGTGGCCAAGCTTTGCCGAGGTCGTCGCGGCGCAGAAGTGCTCTGCCGCCGAAGAAGAGGCACGACCTCGAGAGCTGACAGCGGCGGCAGTGAGCGAACCCGACGAGATCGCGTTTTACGCCTCTTTGATTAACGAGGGCCGCGTGCAACGGCCGCCAGCAGCAGCGCTGTGTGTGCACGTCGAAGGTGAGGTTGGACGGGCCTCGGAGAGTCGGCCCGCTCCTGTCGGATCGCCTCTCTCGTCTGCCGGATCGCCACATGACAACATCGGGGAGAGCGCAAGAACTCCTAGCACCTGCGGGCGGAGCCAGGTGAGCCTCACAAGCGAGCAGGCGGCCGCACGCGAGTTGATGCAGAGCCACACCTATTTTTTGGTGGGCGGCCTAGTCTGCGACAGCCGTGGCTGCACGCTGGGCCCGGCAGAGGAGGTTCTAGGCGAAGGCTGGAAGGAGGCGTTTGGGAAGAAGGCTCCCGCTCCCTTCGCAGCAGCAGAGGTGAGCACCGACGGCGGAAGAAGGGCATCGCCAACGGAGAGAAACACGAACTTGAAGCAGACGGGGAGAGAAACAGGGGCGGCTCGCGGCGGCGGCGGCGCCAGAGCGATGTCGCTCAGGACCGCAGGCCGCGCCTCCACTACAGCTAGGAGCACCAGCAAGAGCAACTCGTCTCGGGGACCGCGTGTCCGATCGAGCGCCCCGAAGATGGGCCCGCTGCTCAGCGAGGAGGAGATGCAGTCGAACTGGGACGCCCTTTGACGTGAGGTCGAGGGTCGTGGATTACTCGACGTTTGCTCTTCAACATACTGCGAAAACTACGGAGCGCGACACACCGATGCGCCACAGTCGCCGGACGCGCCTCGCGCCCCCGTCTCACGTCGACACCGCGGTCTAAGAGTACTGAACACCTGGGGGCAGGCGTCTTATTGGGTAGTCACCACGCATTTATGGAAACCCCCCGTTTTGTTTCTTGGACCTCTGCCCCTCCTCTGGCCCTCTATGTCGAGAGA